TCCAGGCAATTCGCTGGTTTTCGTAGCAATGGCGGCCTCTCGGTTGTCCCGCGACGGCGGCCTCTCGGTTGTCCCGCGACGGCGGCCTCTCGGTTGTCCCGCGACGGCGGCGGTTGTCCCGGACGGCGGCCTCTCGGTTGTCCCGCGACGGCGGCCTCTCGGTTGTCCCGCGACGGCGGCCTCTCGGTTGTCCCGCGACGGCGGCCTCTCTGTTCTCCCGCGACGGCTTGGCTTTCAGTTGTCTTTAGTTGTAGATCTCCATCTCTCGGCCTCTCATTCTGTCCCTCATCTCTGCTATGTAACTCGACATCTTCACAGTCCTGCTAATAAAACAATCTATACATTAGTGGGGTGTTTGTGCTGATTTTGTTGCCTAGGAAGCTGGACTGTGGATCGGGGGTCCCAGACTTCTCAGCCCGAGGGCCACAGTCTGGATTTTACAAGTATTCGTGGGCTGAAAAAAATCATTTATAAATGAATAAAATTTCAATCCCATTAGGGCCTGCAAGCACACCCCGTGTCGCCCACCCCACCGGGGAATCATTGCGCACCCGTGTCCCCACCGGGGAATCATTGCGCACCCGTGTCCTCATAGGAGAATCATTGCGCACACCCGTGTCCCCATCCGAGACTCATTGCACACCCGTGTCCCCACCGGAGAATCATTGCACACCCGTATCCCCATCCGAGACTCATTGCACACCCGTGTCCCCATCCGAGACTCATTGCACACCCGTGTCCCCATCAGAGTCTCCTGGATATCTGTGTCCCCATCCGAGAATCATTGCACACCCGTGTCCCCATCGGAGAATCATTGCACACCCGTGTCCCCATCGGAGAATCATTGCACACCCGTGTCCCCATCGGAGAATCATTGCACACCCGTGTCCCCATCGGAGAATCATTGCACACCCGTGTCCCCATCGGAGAATCATTGCACACCCGTGTCCCCATCGGAGCATCATTGCACACCCGTGTCCCCATCGGAGAATCATTGAACACCCGTGTCCCCATCGGAGAATCATTGAACACCCGTGTCCCCATCAGAGCCTCCTTGTCACAACCGTGTCCCCATCGGAGAATCATTGAGTGTCCCCATGGATATCTGTGTCCCCATCCGAGAATCATCCTGCACAACCGTGTCCCCATCCGAGAATCATTGCACACCCGTGTCCCCATCCGAGAATCATTGCACACCCGTGTCCCCATCCGAGAATCATTGCACACCCGTGTCCCCATCCAAGAATCATTGCACACCCGTGTCCCCATCGGAGAATCATTGAACACACCGTGTCCCCATCGGAGAATCATTGAACACCCGTGTCCCCATCGGAGCCTCCTGGATATCTGTGTCCCCATCAGAGCCTCCTTGTACATCTGTGTCCCCATCAGAGCCTCCTGGATATCTGTGTCCCCATCAGAGCCTCCTGGATATCTGTGTCCCCATCAGAGTCTCCTGGATATCTGTGTCCCCATCAGAGCCTCCTGGATATCTGTGTCCCCATCAGAGCCTCCTGGATATCTGTGTCCCTATCAGAGTCTCCTTGTACATCTGTGTCCCCTTCAGATTCTCCTGGATATCTGTGTCCCCATCAGAGTCTCCTGGATATCTGTGTCCCCATCAGAGCCTCCTGGATATCTGTGTCCCCATCAGAGCCTCCTGGATATCTGTGTCCCTATCAGAGCCTCCTGCATATCTGTGTCCCCATCAGAGCCTCCTTGTACATCTGTGTCCCCATCAGAGTCTCCTGGATCTCTGTGTCCTCAGCATTCGTGTCCAGCACATGCTGTCCCAGGCACAGTAAAACTCTGCACCTCCTGCCGGCTGCCACACAAAGCAGGCTGAAAGTGGAACAATCACAAATATAAACAACGGGCCGGACCCGGGAGGTGCTGCACTTATGATGTCATTGGTTGCTAGGATGCCGGCGGTCCTAGCAACCAATCCATAGCACAGTGTGGCATAGCGGGAGGGGGAGCGGCTTTCTGTTTGGGGGCGGGATTAGAAGCAAGCAGGCCGACAGTATCCACATCTACCAGACGGTATCAAGTGTTCGGAGCCTAGCTCTGTTTGCCAGAAAGTACTTTATTTCTCTACATCTACACAACATCAGCTTCCATAGTCCCTCACACAGCAATCCAGACCTCCCAGCATCCCTGCCACGTCCCTGCCACTTCTGGAATGAGTCCTGGAAGTCTTCTTTCCGAAGCACCTCCTGCGATTGTCAGAATGAGGTCGCTGGACACCAATGGCCTCCACAGTCACCAGATCTCCATCCAGTAGAGCACCTTTGGGATGTGGTGGAACCAGAGATTCCCATCATGGATGTGCAGCCAACAAATCTGCAGCAACTGCGTGATGCCATCATATCAACATGGACCAAAATCTCTGAGGAACGTTTCCAACACCTTGTGGAATCTATGCCATGAAGAACGAAGGCAAAAGGGGGTCCAACCCGGGACTAGCAAGGTGGACCTCCAATGGGAGCCTATGCTGTTGCAACAAGACCTCTACATTCACCGGCCACTTTATTAGGTCCACCTTGCTAGTCCCGGGTTGGACCCCCTTTTGCCTTCACTCTTCGTGGCATAGATTCCACAAGGTGTTGGAAACATTCCTCAGAGATTTTGGTCCATAATGACATGATAGCATCACGTAGTTGCTGCAGATTTGTTGGCTGCACATCCATGATGGGAATCTCCCGTTCCACCACATCCCAAAGGTGCTCTACTGGATGGAGATCTGGTGACTGTGGAGGCCATTGGAGTACAGGGACCTCATGGTCATGGAACCAGTTGGAGATGATTGGAGCTTTGTGACATGGAGCATTATCCTACTGGAAGGGGCCATCAGAAGATGGGGATGCTGGAGTCATAAAGGGATGGACATGGTCAGCAACAATACTCAGGTAGGTTGCGGCGTTTAAACAATGCTCAATTGGTACTAAGGGGCCCAAAGTGTGCCAAGAAAATCTCCACCTAACCATGACACCACCACCTGAACTGTTGATACAAGGCAGGATGGATCCACCACACCATGACACCACCACCACCAGCCTGAACCATTGATACAAGGCAGGATGGATCCACCACACCATGACACCCCCACCACCAGCCTGAACCATTGATACAAGGCACGATGGATCCACCACACCATGACACCACCAGCCTGAACTGTTGATACAAAGCAGGATGGATGCACCACACCATGACACCACCACCACCAGCAGCCTAAACCATGGATACAAGGCAGGATGGATCCATGCTTTCATGTTGTTTACACCAAATTCTAACCCCCAGGATGGATCCCCCACACCATCAGCCTGAACCATTGATACAAGGCAGGATGGATCCCCACACCATGACACCACCACCAGCCTGAACCATTGATACAAGGCAGGATGGATCCACCACACCATGACACCACCACCAGCCTGAACTTGATACAAGGCAGGATGGATCCACCACACCATGACACCCCCACCACCAGCCTGAACCATTGATACAAGGCAGGATGGATCCCCACACCATGACACCACCACCACCAGCCTGAACCATTGATACAAGGCAGGATGGATCCCCCACACCATGACACCACCACCACCAGCCTGAACCATTGATACAAGGCAGGATGGATCCCCCACACCATGACACCACCACCACCAGCCTGAACCATTGATACAAGGCAGGATGGATCCACCACACCATGACACCACCAGCCTGAACCGTTGATACAAGGCAGGATGGATCCACCACACCATGACACCCACCACCACCAGCCTGAACCATTGATACAAGGCAGGATGGATCCACCACACCATGACACCACCACCACCAGCCTGAACCATTGATACAAGGCAGGATGGATCCATGCTTTCATGTTGTTTACACCAAATTCTAACCCTACCATCTGAACGTTGCAGCTGAAATCGTGACGCAGAAGATTGGAAAGACGTTGCCTGGTCTGATATTGTCCAGTTTTGGTGACCCTGTGTAAATTGTAGCCTCCGTTTCCTGTTCTTAGCTGACAGGAGTGGCACCCGGTGTGGTCTTCTGCTGCTGTAGTCCATCTGCTTCAAGGTTGGACGCGTTGTGCATTCAGAGATGGTATTCTGCATACCTTGATTGTATTGAGTGGTTATTTGAGCTACTGTTGCCTTTCTAACATCTGGACCCAATCTGCCCATTCTCTGACCTCAACAAGGCATTTTCCTCCACACTACTGCCGCTCACTGGATATTTTGTCTTTTCCGGACCATTCTCTCTAAACCCTAGAGATGGTTCTGCGGGAAAATCCTAGCAGATCCGCAATTTATGAAATACTCAGACCAGCCCGTCTGGCCCCAACAACCATGCCACATTCAAAGTCACTTAAATCCCCTTTCTTCCCCATTCTGATGTTCGGTTTGAATGTCAAGTCATCTTCACCTCGTCTAGATGCCTAAATGCATTGAGTTGCTGCCGTGTGTGATTGGCGGATTAGCAATTTGTGTTACCGAGCCATTGAACAGGTGGACCTAATAAAGTGGCCGTTGAGTGTATAAAACCAATTTTCGTGGTTTAACTTTCCTCAGCAGCTGGATTGAAACCTTAGATCACGGTGTCCAAAATACAGCCCTCCAGCTGTTGAAGTACTACAAGTCCCATCATGCCTCTGACATTCACAGGCAAGACACCCAAGAGTCTTGCAAGGCCTCATGGGACATGCCGTTCCTCAACACCTGGAGGGCCGTAGTTTGGACACCCCTGCCTCAGATAAATCACAAGTGAGGACACATCTGCATTGGATGATCAGATCTTTGGTGATTGAAAACCGTTCCAACAAACAAAACGTAAAAAAACATTCCATTGTTGTAGACACATTGTGCCACGTAGAACCGTATGACTGTCTCAGAAATGCTGAACGTCTCAGAAATGCTGGATGTGTCTGAATGATGAAACCATTTCCATGCTGCGGGCAGGACAGGGCCGGTCTGGTGTACTCGGAGCGCGGCTACAGCTCAGCTGAAGTTCAGGTAATCACGAGGAGTCCGGATCCAGGAGGTAAACGCCCGTTCCCCGTAATTGCTTCCAGGCTTCCTGGTAGGACACAGCCGCTTCCTTGTAATCCCGATATGTATTCAGTTCCCCAGATCTGCAGAGAAAGAAAACACGGATGTAACGCTCCTTAAAAAACGCACGCCCTCGTACCCTTCGTGCCGCACCTCACTGAGACGCATTCACACTCCAGCGTTTTGTAGCTTCAGCCCGGGTTCACACTGACGCCATGTGGAATTTGCAGCGTTTTCAGTGGGAATTCCTCACCGCATCCAAATCGCACCCCGTTCATGCGAACCGCTGCGGGTGTGTATGTTAAAGGTAACAACACCCCAAAAGCGGTCCGCAAAACGCAGTGCGATGTGCAGAATCGGATCGCATAGGTGTGAATCCCCGTGTGATCTGATTCTAGTGCGGACCAGAAAAAAAAGGTTTTTGGGAGCGTTTAGAGCCATACAAAATGTACGACTCCGATCGCGCACCGCACACAAATCACATGTGATCTGCACAGGTTCCTGCGTGAATTACATGCGATATACCGCACCACATGTATGTGAACACGGGCTGAAGCTCCAAAAAGGCTCAAGCTTAAAGTAATTTTAACAAATGTTTTTACATAGATTTGTAAATGCGTTCCAAAAATATAGATTAAACGTATTTCTAAAAATAGTTTTCATATATTTTGGAATATATAAAAAAAAAAAAAGCATTTCAACATGCAGTATATATACACACACACACATACACATACATACATATATACACACATACATACATACATACATATACACACATACAGTTGTGTTCAAAATACTAGCCGTCAGACATCACTAACCGGATCAATCACTGTTTTTGGTGGAAATGATATTTTACATGGCAAATAATTTCCTAGCAGGTGTAGTAGAGTCATAGAAATCCAACAGACCCAACAGTCATGACATGCATGCTGCTGATTCTGTGTCATTGAATCACTCATTGAAAGGGGCGTGTTCACAATAATAGCCATGTGGAGTTCTATTAGTGAGGTCATTCATTCTTTGATAAACAGGTGGCAATGATTGCCCTTATTTAAGGAAGGAAGGCAGCAAATGTTGGACATGCTGGTTACAGTGCATTTCTCTCTGAAATTCTGAGGAAAATGGGTCGTTCCAGACATTGTTCAGAAGAACAGCGTACCTTGATTAAAAAGTTGATTGGAGGGGAAAACATATAAAGAAGTGCAGAAAATGATCGGCTGCTCAGCTAAAATGATGGCAAATGCTTTAAAATGGCAACCAAAACCTGAAAGATGTGGAAGAAAGCGAAAAACTACCATTGGAATGGATAGAAGAATAGCCAACATGGGGCGGACTCAGCCAACAATCAGCTCCAGGAAGATGAAAGAAGGTGTGACGTTCCCTGTGAGGAGACTCAGCCAACAATCAGCTCCAGGAAGATGAAAGAAGGTGTGACGTTCCCTGTGAGGACTGTTACAATTAGAAGACGCCGATGTGAAGCCAAGCTATCTGCAAGAAGTCCCCGCAAAGTCCCACTGTTGGGAAAAAGACGTGCTGAAGAGGTTACAATCTGCCAAAGAGCACATTGACCGGCCTAAAGAGAAATGACGCAACATTTTGTGGGCTGATGAAAGTAAGATTGTTCTTTTTGGGTCTAGTGGGCGGAGACAGTTTGTCAGACGACCCCCAAACACTGAATTCAAGCCACAGTACACTGTGAAGACCGTGAAGCATGGTGGTGCAAGCATCATGATATGGGGATGTTTCTCATACTACGGTGTTGGGCCTATTTATCGCATACCAGGGATCATGGATCAGTTTGAATACATCAGAATACTTGAAGAGGTCATGCTGCCTTATGCTGAAGAGGAAATGCCCTTGAAATGGGTGTTCCAACAAGACAACGACCCCAAACACCCCAGTAAACGGGCAACATCTTGGTTCCAGACCAACAAGATGGACGTTATGGAGTGGCCAGCCCAATCCCCGGATCTTCATCCAATAGAAAACTTGTGGGGTGACATCAAAAATGCAGTTTCTGAGGCCAAACCAAGAAATAGAGAAGAACTGTGGAATGTGGTCCAATCATCCTGGGCTGGAATACCTGATCACAGGGGCCAGAAGTTGGGGGACTCCATGCAACACAGATGTACAGCAGTTCTCAGAAACAGTGCGACTACAACCAAATATTCATGAAGTCATTCAAAGGAAAGCAAAATCTTCAAACATTTCTCAGTTTATATAGTGAATGTTTGAGTTTGTAAAGAAGAATACAAACACGGCCATTTTTTTGAACCGTCTAATATTCACTTTTCTTCAAATTTTTTAGAGGAACAACACAAATTTGATGTATTTTTCTTCATGTTGTGATTTGGAATAGAATGTGTCGTGTTCCCAATGCATTTGTGTGGATGGAAATAAAAGCTATTAGAAGGATTTTGAGCTTTATTCCTTTTTTCAACACACTGCTATTATTTTGAACACAACTGTATATATATATATATAGAATTATATTGAATACGGCCACCATTGTAGTATTTCAAATATACGTCAATATATTTAGGAAGGATATATTTAAAATATATTTTTCTTCCATGTGGGAATGCTCACTGGAGCGATCCTTTTTTTCGCATATTTGCATCCCCTTTAAGCAGAGCTACACGGTACAATCCCGATTTGGCCCCCTCTGATAATGCACAATAGGGCCCGGACAGCTGGCAGGGTGTGGGAAGAGTTAGCGGCACCAACAGGCTCCAAAACCGACCCTTCTTCTTGCAGATGGTTCATTCATAAAAAGTCCTCTGTGACACGGGGCCCCGCCGCGCTCAGACATGACTCAGCGTTTCCTGGCCGTGCCACCAGCGATGACTTCACACAACTGTTTTTTTTTTTTTTTTATTTAACGATGCCAACAGCTGGGGAGTGGCAGTTATGAGTCCCCAAGGCTCCATCCTAGAGAGGCTCAGCCACCCTCTGCTGCCCAGGATAATCCTGTGACATGGGGGATCCTGAGCCGTGGGGATGTATACAACCAATCGTACGTGAAGTCCGCCGTGTCTGTATTCGCGGCAATGCATCGGGGCTTCCACCCACAGAAGGATAGAAACCCCCTTTAGGTGCCTTTGCAAAGCCCAAATACTACTTTCTAAAGGTAGCAGTGACATCATCACTAAGAGCAGAGGTATGGGAGGGACTCAACAGCTCCGCCCACTGCAGGCTGCCTGCAGAATACTGCAAGAAGGGGGGCGGGGCTGAGACCAGTCACCCTGCGCAAGGAGAGAGCGCAGCACTGACTGGTCTTTCCTACAGGAAGTCCCGGCAGAGAAAGAAAAGTGCTGCGGTTGTTTCTGCTGGATGATGCACAGATCGGACATGAAGTACACGTCAGACAATGTGCTCAATTCACGAAGAAGTATTAAGATCGGCGGTAAAATACCTCGAAATTTATTTCACAATTCAATAAAAAACAATATTTCAATACCGCATGCGCTATTTATTGAAGCAAGGGTGCATTTTAGTACTGAAAATGTGTTATTTTAATGCCAGCCCCTGCGGGTGTCCTGAACAATCAAGAAATAACTGGTTGCTAAGGAGCTGGCAGCTGCTGGCCTCCTTAACAACCAGAGAATAGCTAGTTTCTAGGGAGCCAGCAGCCGCATCAACCCAGCATCATTAAGAACCATGACTCACCTGCTGCCAGTGGGATTCCCCCGCTGACAGCAGAATGTGATCAAAAGAAGAACCGGCATAAAAACACCTTCAGGTCTGACATGCATTTTGAGGGGTACCACACGCCAAAAAAAAAAAAAAATTTTTTGCAATTTGCAAGTGATGCGGTATTTTAGTAATGAAAACATGTTATTTTAATGCCAGCCCCTGCTGGTGTCCTTAACAATCATGAAATAGCTGGTTGCTAAGGAGATGGCAGTCACTGTTGTCCTTAACAACCAGAGAACAGCTGGTTGTTAAGGAGCCAGCAGCTGTCAGCGTCCTTAACCAGGGAATAGGTGCTTGCTAAGGAGCTGGCAGCTGCCACCACCTCCTTAACAACCAAGACTCATCTTCTCACAGCAGAATGTAATCAAAAGAAGAACCGGCGTAAAAACCATTTCAGGTCTGGCATGGATTATGAGGGGCGACCCCATGCCAAAGTTTAAAAAATACCTCATAGCAGCCAGGAAATGTCACGGATGGACATATTGCCCAGGTGGCCACCTATCACGGGACCACGCTTGGAGTCACTGAGCTCCTGAGAGCGACCCATTCTTTCACACAATGTTTGTAGAAGCCGTCTGCATGCCTAGGGGCTTGATTGTATACACCTGTGTCCATGGAGGGGATTGGAACACCTGAGTCACATGATTGGGAGGGGATTGGAACACCTGAATCACATGATTGGGGGGGGATTGGAACACCTGAATCACATGATATAAAGGGGATTGGAACACCTGAATCACATGACTGGGAGGGGATTGGAGCACCTGAATCACATAACTGGGAGGGGATTGGAACACCTGAATCACCTGATTGGTAGGGGATTGGAACACCTGAATCACATGACTGGGAGTGATTGGAACACCTGAATCACATGATATGGAGGGGATTGGAACACCTGAATCACACGACTGGGAGGGGATTGGAACACCTAAATCACATGATATGGAGGGGATTGGAACCCCTGAATCACATGATATGGAGGGGATTGGAACCCCTGAATCACATGATTGGTAGGGGATTGGAAAAACCTGAATTACATGATTGGTAGGGGATTGGAAAACCTGAATTACATGATTGGGAGGGGATTGGAACACCTGAATCAAATGATTGGAGGGGATTGGAACACCTGAATCACATGATTGGAGGGGATTGGAAACACCTGAATCACATGATATGGAGGGGATTGGAACCCCTGAATCACATGATATGGAGGGGATTGGAACCCCTAAATCACATGATATGGAGGGGATTGGAACACCTGAATCACATGATTAATAGGGGATTGGAAACCTAAATCACATGACTTGGAGGGTGGAGCCAATACTTTTGGCAAATATAGTGTATCTATTATAATAGTCCAGTGCGAATCATAAAATTTCCAGAA